CAAAGTCTGTACTCTTGTTGAGGGCACAGTGGAGCCGGGTCTACCAGACGGAGGGTTCCTTCCTGTAGAGAGCCCTCCAGGTGCTTGCCCTACTGCACAGCCAAGGCCTGAAGATGAGTGGGAGACTCTCAGAGGAATGGCCTGGATGGAGCTGGCGCTGTGACAACATATGTCCTATCTCCCTTTCTCTCCCCTTTCTCTCTTCTATCCCTTCTGACAACCTGTATTCTTTCAGCCTCTACTGTATTCTAAACAGAGCTGGGAATTAGATTCGGCCCATGATGAAACAATCCTTAAATTCTCTCTGTCTGTCTCTGTCTCTGTCTCTGTCTCTGTCTCTGTCTCTCTCTCTCTCTCTCTCTCTCTCTCTCTCTCTCTTCTCTCAAGATTTATTTATTTATTTAATGTATATGAGTACACTGTAGCTGTTTTCAGACACACCAGAAGAGGGCATTAGATCCCATTAAAGATGGTTGTGAGCCACCATGTGGTTGCTGGGATTTGAACTCAGGACCTCTGGAAGAGCAGTCAGTGCTTTAACCTCTGAGCCATCTCTCCAGCCCCCAATCCTTATTCTCAAGGGGCCCCTGTGCAACAGTAAATAGTAAGGTGTTAAGTATAGACGGACTGAAGGGAGGTGATTGCTAATCCCTAGAGTGTCCTGTTCAGCGCTTTGCATATTCATTCTGGATGAGAATAAAGACTTCTTAACTTTAAGAAAAGATGACAGGATATAAAAGGGTGGTAACTTTGTTGTATACAGAACCATGAGGCCTTATCTTTCCTGATTGCCAGGATGGACAGAGGTGATGCTCCCAGCTCCAATCACCACAGACGATAGTGATGGGAATTTTCTTAAGCGGCCCTATATATGCATGAAGCACCCAGCACAGATATGGGCCCAGAGCTACAGCCTACTTGTCATATTTACTCATTGTAGGGAGGACAGCCCATCTCAAAGGCACGGTGGGTTCAGGGCAGAGAGTGCTGGTGGGTGACGAGAGTAACCCTTGTGTTATCCACAGCTGTAGTCCCAGTAATGGGGTGGTGCCTGGCACACACAGGGTGCTCAGCCAGCATCTGTTAGGCAAACCAAGCTGTACTTCAGGTGCATGGAAGGTTGTGAGGTACAGTGATGTTCCTGGATCAGCCCTGACAGAGTCCTGCTGGTTGTGGAAGGGCGAGGTGCATTTAGGGAACAGTGAGCAGCCTGGGCCTGGACCAGCTGGGCGTGTGAGTCTGAGGGCGTGTCCATACCTGGGCGTGTGAGTCTGAAGGTGTGTGTGGTTCTCTTAACAGGGTTGTTCAGTTGTATGGAGTCTGTCAGGTTCCCATGGAGTTCTGAGTTCTGGTCACACCGTTTTCACCAACCCCGCCACTCACTCTATGCTCTGTTCTCTTTAGAACACTGCTGCAGATAAACTGTGGCTTCATTAACCGGTGTTGACTCCTGCAAAAGCCCACTTAGTAGACATTCTTCCAGTGAGGTGTGATATACTTTCCTGCGTCAGAAACTCTAGCCAGCACTTTACACACACACACACACACACACACACACACACACACACACACAAGAGAGAGAGAGAGAGAGAGAGAGAGAGAGAGAGAGAGAGAGAGAGAGATGTCTATTTAAAATGTGGCCTTACAATACATGCTTCTTTGTACTATGAGAGCTAAAGTAAGGCCTGCTTTCTTTCTTTCTTTCTTTCTTTCTTTCTTTCTTTCTTTCTTTCTT